TTAAGAAAAAATTTTTTTTTCTTTTTGGTACCAGGGATTGAACCCTCAGGACCTTGTGCTTCTGAGGCAGGTAGCAGAACCACTGAGCTAAATCCCCGGCCCATTTTTTTATGTTTATAATCAATATTTTCTAACTGGGAATGAATTGATAGATCTAGTCAACCATCAATGCTGCTAACACCATAAAGAGGCACCCTGGACATTACAGCTGTCTTCATAAAAGGACACAACTTCACCAGTGATGTGGTTTTGATAATAAATAAATAAATAATAAATAAATCTGAATCTAATCACTGTAAATACCAATTTAGAGGAACAGAGGAATTCATTAAATGACACTATAGGATCCAATTAGGAAAGTACAGTATTTAAGGAATAACTAAGTTTTATTCAATAATTAAATTATAAAGAAAATGTATATTTCCATGCAGATGGAAGTCCTCTCAGCCTTCCAGAACAGACCAAAATACCTGAAGCCACTGCCATGTTAAGTTAAACGCTATGACCATTAAGTAGTACAAAGGATATGTCATTCATTCATGAGCTAGGCTTCATTAGAACTCCACGAATGGACTCCCACTATACTCTGAGCTTTGAAGTCATGGATCAGATCTTCTATCTCAGCTTAGGCAAAGTCCTGGTTCAGAAAAAAGGCACAGTGGCACACATGTGTAACCCCAGCATTCTGGGAGGATAATGCAGGAGGATTGCAAGTTCAAGTTCAACCTGGGCAACTGAGATACTTATCAAGATCCTGACTGAGAATTTTAAAAAGGGTTGGAGATGTAGCTCAGTGTGAAGGCTCTGGGCTCAATCCCTAAAACAAAAGGAAAAATTCATATTAATATGAATTGGATCCAGACACAGTGATGTGCACCTGCAGTTCCAGCTATTTAAGAAGCTGAGGCAGGAAGACTGCTTGAGCCTAGGAGTTCAAGGCTAGTTGAGGCAACAGGGCAAGACTCTGCTTCAAAACACAAATGTATCAATATGAATAGATTGACAGAAATTTTTTCTTGTGGCCCAATGAAATCTTTCTCTTTCCTTTCTGCTGGTTTTTCAATTTTTAAAAAATGTATTAGTACATGTTTGTAATACACAATGATGACAGTCATCATGGGGAGTCAGTACATGTACATAACACATCAATATTCTCTTTTCATCTGCTTCCTCTCTCTCCTTTAAAATAATTTATTTGATTTATTTTGATCTGGTGAAGAAAATCAAACCAAGGTATCCTATCTCATTTAGATAATGAAATTGAAATGGGGTAAGTAACTTTGTGTTAGTTCTCTTTGATTAAGATGAATCCTGCAAAAATTCTTGGGATCATAATATGATCATTTTATTGGGGAAGCCCTGCCTCTGAGGAAAAACTGATTCAAAGTACCTTAGAGAACTTCACTTTAGAAAAGCAATCTAGAGGTAGTGGAATGGAATCTGAAGACTTACTCCACCAGTTCCTTGCTTTGGGAAAGTCATTCTACCTAAGCCTCAATTTCTCAGCTTTTTTATGAAGTGAGAGCAATTTATCTACTTTATAGGGCTGTGGAGGATTAGACAAGATCATGAATGAGAGAGAAAGGAAGACAAAGAGAAGAAAGAAGGTGCTAATAAATATTTAATTATTCCTTCCTTCTTATTTGAAGTTGGGCCAAGACCATATCTTAACCAAAGAAAAAGTACCTAGTATGATCTCCCCAAATTTGCAGAAGTGCTTTAGAAAAAAGTGGATAGACATTATCCAGGTAGATCCAGCAGTGCAAGAGAAGAAAATTACTCTGAAAAGATGTTATCTTGCTGATTCAAAGACAGGAGTTAACTGTCATTTGGAACAATATGAAGGAGACGCTGAATTGGAGACAGCATATATCTTTCTGGTTCCTAGGCTTCTCAGTAGTTCTTGCGCTTAAACTGGATGATTTATAGAAAACTATAGTCTGTGTTCAAACTGCATATACTACACCTAAAATGTTTGCCCTAACCAATGTATTGGAACAGATAAGATTGTTTTAGCTATAGATTTATATCAACATCTCTGGCAAATAGCCATGGGGAAGGCATCTAGGCAGAAACATTTATAACACCAATTGGGATGTTGGCTTTTAATGAGTTCAATTTGAACCACGGACTATGTTTATGTCTTTACAAAGGTTGGTCAATGGAATACACAAAGGGCTGAGCATTTTCACCATGGCCTGTGCTCATAAAAATGTTCTATTCACTGATAGTGTGAAGGTAAACTGGGGTCATCACAAATTGTAACTCAGAGCAGAGGGCAAGTTAATCTTATGTGAAACTTAATCAATACTTTGCTGCTTCCTAGGACCCAAAGCTGGTTTGAAAAAAAAAGATAAAATGCAAGTGTCTCACTCTGCTATTTCTGGCCAAACCACACCTGAAATACTGTGTCCAAATTCTGCTCTCCACAATTACAAAGGGACTTAGACAAACTATAGCATGTTCTGAGAAAAGCAAAATTTCTGGAGACCATCCTGTATGAAGTCTTACTTAAATACTGAATGAAAGAAAAGATCTAGAGAGCGGCAAAAACTTGTCCCTAAATACTCAGCAGGCTGCCAAGCATTGGCATTATTTTTCATGGTCCCAGAGGAGAGAACTAGAATGAATGGGGTGGAGATTACATAAGCAGACTTCAAATTACATTCACTCACACATGTGTGTGCATGCACACACACACACACACAAACCACAAAAATATTTCTAAGCTTAGATCTGACCTGAAATACAGTATGTGTAATCCAAAGATATGGTGAATTTTATGACACTAAATATAAGTAGGCACAATCTAAACAGTGCTATCAAGAAGGTTTATAGAATGATTAGAGAGTTACTTGGATGATCATTGTTACAGTCTGATGCTTTTATCTCCCCAAAATTCATAATTTGAAATCCTAACCCCCAAAGTGATAGAATAAGAAGTAGGGCCTATAGGAAAGTGGTTAGACCATGTGAGCAGAGCTCTCATAAATGGGATCAGTTCCCTTGTTAAAAATGCTGCAGAGAGCTGTCACACCTCTTCTACTACACAAGGTTACAGTAAGAAGGTGTCATCATTGAGCCAGGAAATCAGTCCTCATCAGATATGGAATCTGTTAGCATCTTGATATTAGACTTCTCAGCCCCAAGAACCATGAGAAATAAATTTCTACTGTTTATGAGTTACTTACTCCATATATTTTGTTTTAGTACATTAAGTGGACAAAGAGTCACCCAGCCCTGACATTCTGTGTTTCCCTGAAAATTGCAGTTCATGAATGGCAGTGTAGCATAGCAATGCTCTTGATGACTTGGCTTGGGAGAGATACCTGTGAGCTCCAATCCTAACTGTAAACATGGCTGACTTAATCTGTAAGGCTTAGTTTACATTTATAAAATAAAGATCATAATAGGAACTATGTCTTACTGCTTTGTAAGAATTCAGTCAAATTATCCTGAGGATGGCCTATTAATAACATCTCCACGTAAGACAAAACAGGTCTTCCTTTCCCGTTTGACAACTCTGGGCCTTTTATAGATGCATCCAGTGATGAATTACATGCTGTGTTTTATTTCGTTTTGATTTGTTTTAATAAGAATGTGAGAATTTAAAGCAGACTGCAAATTCTTTTGATAAAGAACAATCCCTAAGGGGAAACACTGGCAGCTGTTTGGGTGTCAGGGAAACCTGTTTGTATATTTTGAATCCGGAGGCTGCTCTACGGACAAATTAGGCCCAGAACTCCAAACAGCTCTTCCACCGGGAACAGGGAATGTCAGATTTCCCTCTGGGGCTGGGAACAGGAACTGCTAGGGAAGAAAACAGCAGGCAGGTGGGAGCAAACAGTTCTCAGAGTGTGCTGCAGAAACAGAGCACCCTGTCCTTTAATGGCAGAAGAAGAGAGGGGTTTCCAGGGACACATAGTGTGAGCCCTGTGTGTGTGCGGCGGGGATAAGCAGGAACTGTTCCACCATTGGATGGCAGCTACACTGCCAAGCTGACTTCAGTCATGTTCAGGCTCAGCCTTTTCCCTTGACCAACAATGGAAAACTCAGTGTCTATCCTTCACGTCAGATTCCTGCTGGTGAAGAAGGAAAGTGCAGGGCTCCTAATTGAGAGAAAGCAGCCCCAGAAGGCTGTGAACAAATGAATCCGTGCTACAGCCTACTGACGCATCTCTGAACTTTGATTTCACTTCTCAGGAGCCCAATTTCATTACAACCAAGTGCTCCATTCTGCAGAAAACACCACAAAGGGAAATAATGAAATTATACCCCCTTTGTTTGGACTTCAACAGCATCACAAACCGCAGAAATTTTCCATGATATCACCTCCTCTTAATGTGAATATTTACTGCCTAGGTCCCTGAAGTAATATCGTCTTTCTTTCACACTCTGTTCAATTTCAGGTTTCAATTTCAGTAATTTTATTGACATGACAACATACACAAATGCTGCTGGAGTTAATCCAGCAATGCTCCATGTCTGGGGCCCGTTTTATATCATCACTGTCTTTTCTTTTATTCCCCATCTTTCATTCAGTGATAGGCTGTCACAGACTAGGAGGGTTATCTGGTTGTCCTTATTTTCCATGAAAATTACGGAGAATTTTCCCTTGCATCTTAGAAGGCACCTTATTGCACTTTCAGGCAGCCTGATAAAAGAATATTGTCCATTTTCTTCATAGTTTATACATAGGAGGCTCCTTTTCCATCTCTCTGATTCCTCTAATTTCAAAGTCCGCCTCATGTAAGTTTCAAATCATCTTTCACTATTGTTGTTGTTGCTGCTGCTGCTGTTGTTGCATTTCAATTTTAGAATGGCAGTTGCATAACTTAAAGGTTTGTGGCATGTACTGGTTTTTTGGATTTCTGTAACAAATTACTACAAACTCAGAAGCATTAAAAATCTATGCTCTACTACTTTTGGAGGCCAGAAGACTGAAACCAAGGTACCGGTAAGTCTTTCTCCAAAGCTTCTGGGGGAGGACCCTTGCTTACCTCTTCCTGGTGGCGGTAGTCATCTTCAGAACTCCTTGCTTTGTACATGTATCACTCCAGATTCTTCCTCTGTGGTTGTATGGTGTGATGTCCTCCCTGTCTGTGTCCAGATTTTCCTCTTTGACTCATCCAGCAGTCCCTGGATCATAATGAAATAGGACCTCATTTAACTTGATTACATCTGCAAAAACTCTGTTTCCAAGTAAGGACACAACTACAAGTACTGGAGTTAGGACTTGACTATCTTTTAGAAGGACACAATTCAACTCAACAACAGAACATTAGATGGGAAAAAATCAGTGTGATTCTTGGTTACGTCTTCTGGAACAATAGAGCAGGACACTCTCACCCTGAGGTTTAGGATCCAGAATTTAAAATATTCTTATAATTGCTAGGTCTGTAAGTGACTAATCTCTCACCCAAAAAAGAAAGTCCACAGACTTTCCTATCTGCCTTGTTTGCTAGAATCTAAATATACAGAGGTTGAGACAATATTAACATAGATGTAATGAAGTACTGATGGCTATGTAACTCACTTCACCTTACCTCCTGTTGCATACAAATGCAAATACCAAGGAGATACAAAATAATCAGAAGTTAAAAGAGAAACACTATACCATAGCATTGCCTTAAATGTGCACACAAATATACTTTACACGTTCTTTGCTTTAGCAAAGATGGGTTTTGAGATGTTTTCTCTGTGTATAATACAACCACTTTCACTCAAGTAGTTCTTATGACTCAGAAAGTGTTTTTCTTCATGCTGAAAGTTAAAGGGAAGATGTAGCTAATGAGTATATCGGTGGATGCTGAGGTTCCCTGACTCATGCCTCTCTCCAGTTAGCTGGTTGACCTTACTAGGTCATTTTAATGCATCCTCAGTCACAGCAGGAAGTCTCCAGAATACATCCTCTCACCTTCCATGGCCAGCTGGCCTCAAACTTTGCCTTTTCACCTCTAGCCTCTCCTCTTTTCTCCATTTCTGCCCTGTTTAGGTGAACCATTGGAGCAGTCCCTTAATTGGTGACTCAATCGCTGGGCTTCTTCTAATTCTGCTTCCACTTGGCTACAGAAGAAACCTTTAAAATATCAACTTCCCAAAGCTCAGCACCTGCTTCGGCTCCTCATTCCTATAGTACAGTTCTAACTCCTAAGTGTACTAGAATCATCTAGAAACCTTGTTAAAAACCTAGATTTCCAGCCACATCTCTAGTTTCTCACTGGGTTGCTGGTGTGGGAGCTGAGAATCTACATTTTTAATGTACTTTCAGGTGATGCTGGTGTCATTTGCCCAAGGACACTTTGAAAACCACTAGAATAGAGGGAAAAGTTTGGGCTCCTAAGAATTCAAGGCAATCTGTGGCCTGACTCAGCTTGTTTTTTAGCTTCATTTCCTTTCGCTCTTCCCACTGATACTTTAAACTCTGGTAGAGCCATATACTTGTATCTTCCAGCAGATGTAAAACAGTTTTCTATGATTCTCATATTCTGTTCTACCTACTAGCAACTTGCTTTCCTTCATCTGTCAAGTATCCCGACTTCAGTAATGTCTTCAATAATGTTGCTATTTGCCTCCATCATATGCCTTATACATGATTCTATTTTCTTTCTATTCTTATATCTCTCTCAGGGACTCCCTAACTAAACCACGATCCTCAAATATTGGAATCATGCCCTTTGTCTTCCTCCTCCAATACCTAAGAGGTGCCAGTCATAGTTATATTTGGATAACTGGCCAAAGCAATCCGTGCAATGAGGTATCTACACGGAACCTTTGTGTGCTTTGTAAATCCTCATTTTCATGTGTACATAGGCAGTCTCTTAAAATTTCGTTTGTAGGCATACAAACAGGGAGCGAGAGAAAATTTATAGCAGGGTCTGTCTGTGTATAGGACCTTTCCTTCATAATACTTTCATTAGTCAGGAGCAAAGAGAAATAAAAAACTATGTCTAAAAGTACTTTGGCAATAAACAGACACAAACCAAAAAATAACCTTTGGCTTTGGAATAAAATAAATGAAGACAGTGAAAACAACCCAAAATTGTTTAACATCAAATGAGATGAAGTTGCTGTCATAGAGAGGGACTTTGTGGATCACAAAAGCCCATTAAAATCTGCACAGAGCTCAAAGAAAACCAGTCAGGGTTTTCTTTGTGGAAGGACTATGCAAAGAAGGAAGGTAGAGACAAGCAACCATCTTTACGTTACAATGGCACAAGATGTTAACATGGCCAAGAGGGAGACCTTAGTTGGTTTTGGATTTTGTATTTTCACATGTCCAAGCTGTTGGACACCTGCCATTTCTCCCATTGGTCAGGGAAGTTTTGGTGTGGGCAAGCATAATAGACATAGCCATATTACTTTGGCTTTCTGGCAATCAGTCCCCATTGCTGCAAAGAAGAAGCCAAGGCCTGGCAAAACCAAGCATTCCCTCTCCTAATGCTCAGGACTGTGGGCACAGGTGCAGTGGTCTGTTTCTTAGGAGGCTCTCTTTGCCTTAACCCCAGCATTGTACACAGAAGTAATGAGAAACAGCAAGATGGCCAATTACATTTTTGGATGCACCTTGAGACCATAATGTAAAGTGAAGTAACTCGAGTTTAAATATCACATGATTTCTCTCATATAAAAAAACTTTATATACATATAAAGGAAATATTTCAGATAATAGGAAAAAAGTAAAAAAATTATAATCTAGCACAGACAACTTATCTAAAAGTGTATCTTAACTTAGTTCAATTGTCTTTCATGTTTTATATGTTCTTTGGCCTGTTTGGTTTTAAATCTGTATATTTGATAATTACCTTTATAAGGTCTTATAAATAAGTGCATTTGAGGCTGGAAAAATAAAAAGAGGAGTGAAAGGAAGGGGAAAACAAGGAATTGAAATGTGTTATGTGCATGTGCCAACTCCCTGTAGTGAATGTAATCATTATATACTGCAAACATATACTAATAAGTCAAAAAAGAATAGGCATTATAAGTTATCTAAAATATATTGTGGCATTTTTACATATCTATCTCTGTTCAAGACTTACATATTTTTAATTGAATTAAAATTTACATATTTCAATTAAATTATTTTTAATTCTAAAAATAAATAGATACATTTTTTTAATTTGCTATATTCAGAAACAAGAACAACACTGGTCATATTTAAATTCTGAGAATAAGATAGATATGTGTTGATCGGCCTAACTTTGTCAAAGAGAAACTGCAACTTCTAACATTATATAACTCCGTTTCACCTGAGTAAGATAAAGCCAGTGACTCAACAACCATTTTAGACTCTTGTCTCAATAAGCATTAAAAAGAAATGAGCTTGGGCTGGGGATTTAGCGCAGTGTCACTACGCCTGCCTAGCAACGGCAAGGTTCTGAGTTTGACTCCCAGTACCAAAAAAAAAGAAATAAGCTAAAAGAAATTATGTGCCACCTGTCTTTGGTGATGTGCTTGAGGAATTTGAGCCAGGAAATGAGAAGAAATTTAACTACAAAGGACCCAAGATTGATTAGGAGTTATTGTGATTGATTGGGGTTATTGTGGTGAACATTTTCCAGGTTCAAAACCCATGGTGATTCAGTGGCATTAGCATTAATAGTAGCTCAGACCCCAGACCTATAGTCCCTCCCAATCTGGATTTTCCCCTTTTCTCAGCACACAATTAACCTGGCAAATGGTCACAAGGCACGATGGGAAAGTCCTGTGGGACACTTACCATACGGGCATGAAGTTATATCACAAAATCATTGGTATAGAAGGTATTTACAACCTTCTATTCAAAGAGTAGATTCTGAGACTGTGAATTGAAACTGGGTGAGAGATTGAGGCTTTCCACTGTGGCAGCCAAGATAAGCCGTCTTTGTTATTTTATAAGTTGAGCAACACTCTAATCAGCTGTCCATCTATCACTGCACACACCCTCACAATTGCCCTGATCTCTTTAGTCATTTCCAAAAACCCTGGTAGATCAATGCACCCCAATTGCCACTTCATTCTCACTGCCTATTATAGTAATTACACCACCTTGCCTGTGACCCTTATTGCTGCCACCTGCCCCTGTCATTCTAGAATCCCATCATCTCATTGACATTGGTGAGCCCAGGTTCATTGGCAGCATCTCTCAGAATTAACCCCATCCTACAGAGGGCAGCTATCACCAAGTATCTTAAGTACATCATTGTCCCTTTTACCTGTGCCTTCTTTATTGCCTAAATGAAGAGAGATACTCACGGTCCTCCAAAGAAACATATTTGAAGAGGTTCTCATATCCTATGTGTCAAATCCATTCTAACAACCCTATATTTCCAACCCCCTCCTAAATAATGTGACAAAGAAATTTGAGTAACCTTGTTACTATAGGTCAATGGTTCTTTACCTTTACTGCGTATTCAAATCACCTGAAGGGCTCACTGAATGACCAGACTTCCAAGATCCACTCCAGAGTGTCTGCTTCAGTAGAGGAATGTCATTTGCCCAGGTGATAACAATTCTGCTCTACTGGGACCATATTTTGAAAATCACTGTATACTGCAGTTCATTATCCTATACAAGCCTCAAAGGGTTAATACAAACCTCAAAGACCATTAGACCAACAGCAAATGCAAGGTCCCCCCTGTCAAACCACTGAATCCTAATTCATGCACAAGTGCCCCACCAATACATAATTCTCTTCTGTCTAATCATATACTCCTCTCTGGTCCAAAACCCATAAGATCCACTTACACATGTGATTTGATATGTATTATATAGGTCCTGTAACTCCCTCATACCACATATAAGCTGACCCCCCCACCAGATGGGCTGCACTTCTCTATTTGGGCTATGTTGACATCTAGCTTTTGTTTTTGGGTTCAAGGAATGAGAGAAAGTGAGGGCATCCTGTGAAGAACAAGTAGGTGCTTATGAGGTGCCTACCCCCAGGGACGTCACTGCATATTCTCCAGGCAAGCAGAGACCGGAGACTGTTATCCTCTGATAAAGCAGTGGGAAGCCATTCTGGAAAGCTCAATGAAAACTTGGGATTCAAGATCCTCGGGCTCATCTAATAAAATTGCCCCATTCCAAATCTCAGGATTCTACTATTTTTCTAATAAAAACATGATCAGGACATGGGAGACTTGTCCAGCTGTACATTC